ATGCTAATCTTAACACTATACTAATATTAACACTGCGGTTATTTAATCTCTTACTATGTTTCAGTTATGATGCTAGGCACCTTACATACAATCTTTATGATACCTCTCTAGTAATGCATTTATAATGCCTAATGTTTTACTCGTCAGCAGGTTGACTCATTACTTCTGATGCCCACCTCCCTCAAAAGAGGATGAAACAATGAAACTTTCCAATAAACTAAGGAAGAAAAGTTCGTGAAAGGGGTTTAATTTTCTCAATAAGGGTCAATTGCTTTTCTTTTGGCTCCTCTTTAATTTCACCCAAGTACAGGAACTTTGTTTTCTTGCTCAAATTCAAGACTTCTGAATTTTTGTTCCTTTTTTTTTTTTAATTCAATGTGTTTTCTCCTTTCCCTCTTTGTGACCTATTTATATATTTTTTAAAAGTTCCTTTATTCATTTCTCTCCTTTTTGATTTTTTTCTGGAATGTTGTTTCTGTCAATTCTGTTTGTCTTTATTTCCATTTTAGATAGATCCCATTTGACATAATAGGCTCCTGAAATGCTGTGTGTAAACAAATCACACTTGAAATGAATTACCCAACTCCAACCCCTCAATCATCTGCACTGAGAACTATTTTATCCTATAAATTGAACAAGCATTTCTACAATATAACAGTAAAAAGAAATAAACAAGACATGGATAGAGTCTTGGAGAAACAAGACACTTTCAAACCTCTTTTCTTTCTTTGAATAGTTCCTATAAGCCTAAAACTCTCATGGCAAATGTTCGATAAAGTTTTAAAAACTCCAACCTTCTCTGATTCACTCTCTGCGTGCTGCTAGATCTACAGATAAAATAAGCTGTCTTCCACTGGGAGGGATGATGTTCTGGAAAGAGGCCCCGGGCGCCATCCTTTGTTCCTCCACTTCTGCCTCTGTCACCATGGCAGGTAACTTCATACTCCAAAGCCTTCTTTCCTTGTTTTGAAAACAGCAATTGGGCCAGGCACGGTGGCTCACACCTGTAATCCCAGCACTTTGGGAGGCCAAGGTGGGTGGATCACCTGAGGTCAGAAGTTCTAGACCAGCCTGACCAACATGGAGAAAACCTGTCTCTACTAAAAATACAAAATTAGCCAGGCATGGTGGCACATGCCTGTAATCTCAGCTGCTCAGGAGGCTGAGGCAGGAGAATCACTTGAACTGGGAGGCAGAGGCTGCAGTGAATCGAGATTGCTCCATTGCACTCCAGCCTGGGCAACAAGAGCGAAACTCCCATCTCAAAATAAAATAAAAAAAAAGCAAAAGAAAAAGGAAAGCAATTGACCCTTATTGAGAAAATTAAGCCACTCTCACGAACTTTTCTTCCTTAGTTTATTGGAAAGGTTTTTTCTTTGACATCCTCAGTCTGGAAGACTCTGTTGGTGGATAATGGCAGGAGGTTTACCTTTGGATCTTGGGTATGGTGAAGTTCTTACCACGTTTTGCTTCACCCTGTAAGCAACCACTGAGTATTTTCATAAAGTACTATGAGGCATTATCATATTAAAATAATTACATTGTTTTGAGAGTTTTCTAAGAATGTCACAATTATTTTAAGATAATTAGAGGCACACCTGGGAGGGGAATTAAAAAACTAAAAGTAGTGACAACTATTCCACAATGTTTCTCAAGGTTTCTCATATAAATTAAGAATTAACTGAAGTCTCTACACTAACAACCTTCCATCTCAGTATCTGCTGATATTTTACTTAATGTGTTGCTTTTCCTGCTTGTCATTATGAAATAGAGGTTAAGATTCTAATTTTAATAATTTTTTGTAGGCATTTACTTAGCAATTTATCATTATGAAAGCATATAATTTCGTTGTTAATATTTGATCAAGTACATAAAGTAATAATCAGCATCCTATTCTACATATAGAAAAATCTGCAAGTTGACCCAGATAGCCCAAGAAAACAACACATAAATCCACAATTGGATTAGAGTTACATTCTATGCTTTTCTTCTAACTCCATGAACACCTGAGAAATAAAAACCCATGCTTGATGGTCTCATTCATCTAACTGCGTTCCCCTTTCTATTGGTTTCAATTCTGCAGGAACAGGCTTACCCCCCTCATTTATTCTCAGCAAGCCTCGGGGCTTCCGTGTTGAAGCCACAACGCTACTACCTCCAAGAGGAATTGAACCATGTTTACTCTCATCACTTCAGTCCAAACTCCTAGGAGAGCCTCCTGTGCAACTAGAGTGGTAATGAAATGAGCAGTGGATCTGCTCAGGACACCTAAGGCTTGGCTTGGATAATTCTAACTGTGTGGCCTGTGAAAAATCAGTTGACCACTCAGCTTAAGTTTCTTCATCTATAAAGTGGGAATAAAAACAGCACCTACCTTTCAGAATTGTTGTGGGGGTTAAATGACAAACTGTTAGCAGAGTGCCTGGTATGTAGCAAGAGCTCAATCAATGCCACCTGCTATTATGATTATGATAAGAAAAAAGGCAGTATCACTTCTTTTCAGTGACACTATGAGAATTACGTTAGATGGCCTTGCTTTTGATTCTCTTTGCCCATTCATCTGGTTTACCACTGAAAGACTGATTTAATTAAAACTAGATTCCATACCTCCTAACTTCATGCCATGTGTCATTTAAGACATATTAAGTATTCTCAGCATTTTCCCCAATGATTTTGACTTCGTAGGTCATGAACTGGGTCTTACATTTCTTTATATTCACTAAGTCTAAGTCCAGCAAATGCATGGACCATAATGTACATGTTCAATACTTACTTGGAAAAAAACAAAACAAACAAAACCACTGTTACACTAGCAAAGAGCACTAGAAACTTCCAAGAGCAAGACTTCTTTTGGAATTTGGCTTTCTTTTTAGGTTACTCTGCACAATTTTTTTTCTTCTTTTTTTGAGACGAAGTTTTACTCTTGTCACCCAGGCAGTGGGCAACATCTCAGCTCACTGCAACCTCTGCCTCCTGGGTTTAAGCGATTCTCCTGCCTCCTGAGAAGCTGAAATTATAGGCATGCACCACCACAATTGGCTAATTTTATATTTTTAGTAGAGATGGGGTTTCACAATGTTGGCCAGGCTAGTCTTGAACTCCTGACCTCAGGTGATCTGCCCGCCTCAGCCTCCCAAAGTGCCGGGATTACAGATGTGAGCCACCCCACCTGGCTAGTCTGCACAAATTTATACATAGGAGTAGATGGCGGTGCTGTGAGTGTGATTATAAAGATGAAAAATAATTTGGCAGAGAACAAAGCAGGTGCAGCATTACAAAAATAAATCCACAATTGAGAAATGAGGCCCAATACCTACTGTATTGGAGGATTATTCCACCTTAAAAACTATATGTGTGCTTTAGAATGTTTTTCCACACTAAAACTCATTCTAATACAGGAAAGCTTACATTTGTCAAAGTTTGGGAATTTATCAGCCTATATAACCATCATAACATTCAAGAAGCATGACATGGAAAGAGCATATTGCAAACTTTTCTAGCACCTGTTGTGTCTAACAAAGACAGAGTGTAACGTATTGAGGATTTCACATTAAAATAGGGAAGGAAAGTATTAGCTCTTAGCCACTAAGGCCCTTCCAGTTAAGTGTCGAACAGAGAAATAGGGCACTGTACCACACCTATTAATGGAGAATAAGAATCCAACACTTGTTTGCTCACGTAGAGGTGGTTACAAGGTTCTGCGCCAGAGATGGAAACAGAAGGAACACAGTTTTGAGCCAGAAACCTGTAACTCTGTGTGAAACATGTAAGTTTCCACATCTGTAAAATGGGAATACTAATTAACAATTTCACTATGTTTTAAAAGAATTAGATAATATATATCCAAGAACCAAGTACATGGTAGGTGCTCAACAAAGATGCTCATCTACATATTCTACAGCAGATTATAACAATTATCTAGAGTTTTAAAAATGGGAATAAAGGGACTAATTTTGTCCTGATACACACACACACACACACACACACACACACACACACACACATCTGTTTAAGACAAAGTCTCACTCTGTTGCCCAGGCTGGAGTGCCATGGCTCCACCTTAGCTCACTGTAACCTCCACCTCCCTAATTCAAGCAATTCTCCTGCCTCAGCCTCCGGAGTAGCTGGGATTACAGGTGTGGCCACCATGCCCAGCTAATTTTTGTATTTTTAGTAGAGACTGTGTTTCACCAAGTTGGCCAGGCTTGTCTTGAACCCCTGACCTCAAGTGATCTACCCACCTCAGCCTCCCAAAGTGCTGAGATTACAGGCGTGAGCCACCGCGCTGGGTCCCTGTTCTTAGATCAGGTCTATTTGTATGCTTTTAGGTTACTATTCCTAAGACCTGGATCTAATGGTACAGATACATAATCCCGTACAATGCTGATATTTAGCATGTCCCAGGGAGGTGAGATGGGCCTCATATTTCACAAATGAAGAGGCATTTCACAGAAGAGAAAACTGAGGCTGGACAGTTGGCTTGCACCAGAGCTTCCTACTGGTAACTGGCCACGCAGGGACTCCTGGTCAGTCCAGAGGCCACAGAAAAGCCTGCTGAGACAGGGATAGTTCACCCTCATCCAAGACAATGGAAGACCCCCCTGCCGCCGCCACCCCCGGCAATATATTACTCACATTAGATCCATTTTCAGGCAACGGGAGCCAAGACTGTGGGCCTGTACCAAGGCTGGACCCTCAGGGGTGTGCTCTGCCCTTTTCCACTCGTCGCCCCCTCCCTTCCGCGTGCGCCCACTACTCCTTGCCCGGGCTGAAAGAGTACTTTAGAGGCTCAGTCCGCCCGCTCCCTCCCCTCCATCTAGCCAAACTACAACCCAGCACCTCCAAGCGAACATCTGTGCACAGAACGTTAGGATCGTGATGAAGAGAAGTCATATTAGATCATATTGGAAGTCTTAAGGCACGGAAGCCCGGGCACGCAGACACCCCGCTGGCCCGGGATCCTGGGAGTCGGATCCCAACCCAAGCCACTGGGCACTCACCGCTTGTCGCCCGCCCGCGGGCGCGGTCGGGGCCTGCGGGGACCTGGCGGCCCCGGTGCTCGGGCCGCACGTGTCGCGCTCTCCGCCGCTCTGCCCTTCCCGGTGCCAGCGCCAGCCCTCCCGCCTCCACGCCCTCCACCCCCGCGCCACCAACCCCGGGGTGGGCGCGGCAGCGCCGGGGCGCGCAGAGCTGGCAACGAGTGGGGGTCGGGCCGGGGCAGGAGCCTGTGCTGGGCAGTGGCCGCCACCAGGCGGAAAGGACTCGCTCTCTAGTTCAGCGCTAGACACGCAGCCGGGCGGACGCCTGTGGTTTTCACGCCGGGGGTCGAAGCGGGCTCGGGTGGGATTCTGCCACCTGTGCGCTCTGCTGTGTCGCCTTGAGCAAGGTAATTCTCTCTCCACCCTCAGTTTCCCCTCATATAAAATGCGGATAATAAAGCCTGTCTCATAAGACGGAGCAAGGGTTGACCGAGGTGAGCTGCGTTATGCACCAAGGTAAGATACACGCCACAGGATCAGGTTCTCAGCGCTCACAGCCACAGAGAAGTGGCACTTTGCTGACAGCCATGGGGAACGTTCCTCGCAGATGTCCATTCTCTGTGCTCTGCACCGCCCAGCTCTTACCACACCTGAGCGCCTAGCCCTCCAAAGTGGGCTGCGCACAAGACCACCCACTGGAGTGCGGACAGAACATACTGGAACTAACCTTTGTATTTGCTATCTAAAAAATGAGAAAGAAGTGAAATTTGAACAGATGGCGTGTCACCAGTCCACATAGATCCCGTGTTAGAAGTGATGTTCTCAGGGAAGAGGGAAAACTGCCCACAGTGCAGAGGGGTTGGCAGCTGTGCCCTTATTTATGACAATATTACTTTAAAAAGTATTTATAGAGACAGAATCTCACTCTGTTGCCCAGGCTGGTCTCAAACTCCTGGCCTCAAGCGATCCTCCTGCCTTGGCCTCCCAAAGTGCAGGGATTACAAGCCTGAGCCTCGGTGCCCCGCCAACAATATTTCTTTAATTCTGAGACTTCCTTAATTATAAGACATACCATTATTTATGCATTACTAAGAAATAAAAAGAACTGCCAGGTAAACAATGGCAATGCTTTCTCAACATTTAGAATCCTTTTCACTAAAATTTTATTTAGAGATATCTTTTAGATTTTAGACACGTGTATTATCTATAGAATTTTTTTGGTAAGACCCTCCCCACGCTCACTTGTCTCTGGAATTTTCTTCTAGTCCACTGAGCCCAATCCAGGTTTGCTGAGCCCGAACAAGCAGATAACTACAGACATACTTCTGGGCATCACCTTAAAACCGCTCCCAACGTTTGAGGTGTTAAATGTGAAAAATGTACATCTTAAAATCAACAATGTACAGTAGATTGTCTTTATGGGATTGTGACACATTGTAGTTTACATGCTTTAGTAATTTACATAAATAATTTAACTGAAATATTTTAAATTGTAGACTCTAGAATCTTAATGTTACTTTGTAACGAGATGATCCATAATGGTAAAAATCATTTGTAACAAAGTTTTTAAAAGTTGTCTTAAAGTGAGACATTTTATCTATTTTTACCAAAAAAACCCCACAAATATCCTAAATTTGCTGATCCTTTCTGTATTGATATAGGGCTCTCAGTATATGTTATCTAAAAGATCTTTTTGTAGAACAAAAAACCCTGGAGGTTTATTTGTTGTTGTTTCTTCAAGATAATTTTCACACCAAGTGATATCTTGTTAGAGGAGACCATTTGAAAACAAATATTTCAAAGTGTTGCCATTAAAGTGTGTTTTTCTTACTAAAGAATATATGATTGTCATCTACAGAAAATACTTTTAAAAACTTGAAAACAATTTGCTATTTTGTTTCAATCTTTTAATTGAGCAGTTCAGTGAATTTTGAAACCATTTGTTAAAAAATACAAAAATGCAGCAGCTTCTCATTAATTTAAAATGACAAGTGATATCAGGAATAACAAGATTCTTATAACCAAATGTTATAACAACCTTGCATAATTCATGGATTTTTCTATACTTTTTAGTGAGAAGGAAGGCTTTTAATTTTGTTAATAAATCAATACTTTCAAAAATGTATTTTGCTCTTTATCTCATTTAAAATTTAATTGATATATTTGTGTGTGCATGTGTGTGTGTACATGTATACACACATATACATATGTTTCATAAGGAAATAAAGGAACAACAAAACATATGTTGAGGATGTTTCTCAAAAATGCTTTTTTTTCCCCTGAAGAAGTACACCATCTAAAACGTTGAAAGACCACTGCTCTATTAACTTCTAATGGCAGCATCTTGAGAAATCGCAGGCGTCGGACACAAAATCGTGTTCCAAATGCATCTGAGGCATGTTCTTTGAGGGAACAGATGAGAGCTATTCAGGAAAGAACTTGAATCTGGTCATTAAGCACGACAAATTATGAGAACACAGTAAGATGCAGGTAACAATGATAGCTTTCTTTATTATCTCCTTTTCCCTAGATGCAAGAAAAAAAGAGCCAGAAGATGATCACTCTTACGTAAATATTACTTGAGAAATCATCATGCTGCAGGTCTGTCAGTATATTATTTAACTTAGAGTTATATTATCAAGTGAAAACTCGCACTAATTGCTGCTTTATCAGTGGTTCTCTTATTCTGCCTGCTCCCGGGATTATAAACTCTGTGCACACAAGGATCCCTTGTCTTCAGCATCTGGCACACTGAGTGGCACAGGGCAGGTATCAATACGTATTTACTGAGTTGAACTGACTTGTTCTAGAGAGATCCCATTCTCTTTGGCCAATTCAACAGGATTATAGGTGCTGTTCAATCTTCACACTTTTGGACAGTTAAAAATTAGTTGAAATATTAAATATAATTTTTCTTAGCAAGTCATTAACCTTTCTGTATAAAATTTAACCATCTGTAGAGACCTTTCTATTTCCCCTCTTCTTTTCTCTGCTTTATCCTCCTTTTATTATCTAGGAGTTTCACTAGGAGTTGTCTAGTTGGAGAAAAAAAACAAAAACAAAAACCAATTTTGCTTCTGTGCTTTTTAAAGAATAAACCCTAGATGGTAGAGAATGCTTCCTAAAGCAAGAGCCTAATATACAACCCAAAATGTCAACTATCATTGTTAGGGTAATCATTTTTAAGTCTGTGGTTATGACATGGTCTTCTGTATAGCTGTTAGGTAAATGAATGTACTTGCAAATCAAAAGCTCAATTAAGTGGATAACCACAGTGACAGTGACAAACCCTTTTCTAGGAAACACAAGTTCAGTTTCCATTTCTGGTATATTTCCATTACTTTAAAAGTCTAATTTGGTTCATTGCTGATACCAAACACCCTGAAAAATACTTAATCACACTATTCTATGAATAACTGAGATGTGCTTTTCCTAAAATGTCACTTGTCAGGATAAATACTAAGAGGTGGTTGCCAACATAGCGATTTAGGGCATCAAATGAATGCTGGCACTTGTTAAGCTTGATAAGAAGGTTTTAACATGATTTTAAACTTTTACTTATAATGAGGAAACTCAGCATCTAAGATTAACTGTTCAGGCCTGCTGCCTCACTTTGTAAAAGTTTCATTTCTAAAAGTTTTTACTTTATTAGTTTTACTCATCTCTCCAAAATATTAAACTTATAGGACACCAACATAACTCCTGAATATATTTGTAGTGTTATGTATTGAAAAAGTTTATATATAAAATTAAAATAGTGCAATACCAGATTCTCAGATTATAAATAAGCTTCATAATTCTTAAGATTTAACAAGCACAAACATTGTTTACAGATAAACAAACTGGCCAGGCTCAGTGGCTCATACCTATAATCTCTGCATTGTGGGAGGCTGAAGTGGGTGGATCACCTGAGGACGAGAGTTCAAGACTAGCCTGACCAACATGGAGAAATCCCACCTCTACTGAAAATACAAAACTTAGCTAGGCATGGTGGCACACACCTGTAATTCTAGCTGCTCAGGAGGCTGAGGCAGGGGAATGGCTTGAACCTGGAGGCACAGGTTGCAGTGAACCAAGATGGCACCACTGCACTCCAGCCTGGGCAACAAAGTGAGACTCTGGGGGAAAAAAAAAAAAAAAAAAAACTCATGGAAAAAATATAAAAATGCAGTAGCCTTGGAGAGGAACAATGCATTTTCAAGATGTGTTTAGGTTGCTGGAAGCCTTGTTAAATGAACATAGAGGTTAAAGAGTAAAGTGAGACATGAGGCAAATTTAAAGCTGCGATAGCTGCAGGGTCCTGCACAATATAAACTTCATTCACAAACTGGCTCTGCTATTCTTAGCAGCTAAACATAAACATATGTTACAGGATTCACAGATTGCAGCATGTCATGGGCTGGTTACCCGGTCATCAGAGCCAGAACTTTCAGTGGTGCAGAACTTTGGCAAGTTCTTATAAAAGGCAAATTTCTCACAAACATTCCCACACAAAACCACACATATGTTCCTCATTTTTGGCTGTTGTTTGTTTGTTTTTGGTTTGTTATAGAGTGTATCAACAGAGGCCCTATGAAAAGCACTCTGAAATGTGTACATCATTGATTCTTTTCTACATTTCCCTCTTCTGGCTTCAAATATCCCTTTTCCCCATGCTTCTCATAAATAGAAAATACTCTGATTTCCCAAGCGAGACACCCAAAGTCCTGTCCAATCACGGCATCCAGCTCAGAGCCAAGCACTCTGAAAAATAAGCAGTGGTGGCTACCTACTGAAATATAGCTCCTTTGTGTCCACAGCCTAAAAACAAACACAAAAAGCCAGATTACCTGCATCTCCACCCTCCCCCCAGGATGTAATACGGTGGAACAGGGATGATGAATGCTCAGCTTAGGACAAGGGGAAGCATGCGAAACACCAGAAGTCGCTGGTCCAAAGTATCACTGTCTTCAGCGGGGAATGCATTCGTTTTTTTATTTTGGCCTGTAGGACCTCTGCTAAAACTGAGACAGGAATAATCTCAAGTATCCTTTTCTACAAATCAAACACGGCAGAGGAGTATCAAATTTTAATAATATTTCCTTTCCCTTCCAGTCTTTCCTTCCCAAATAATAGTTTTATGAGAATCTTTCCATATTTTTCTTCATGCC